AAGCCGTTGGGTTTGCTTAAAGGTATAGTGAAGGATTTTTGCCAATTTCTGAAAAGTCCCGCCCTCTACACTTTAAAGCAATGATTGCTAAGGTGAATGTGGGTTAAGTGGGACACTTTTTGAAAATGTTGCTTCTGTGGTATTTGTTTAGCCTATTTCCTTTCTAGAGCTAGAGTTTCATATGATACATTTTTAAAAACCTTCACATCACTGTCATGCTTTGCTCAGATAGCTGGTCTTAGTTGCTCATTTCACTCACCTGACTAGTTCTGCCCAGTTCCTAATCATCTGTGATCTCATCCACCTGTCGGTTCTGCTTTATATTCGGTCCAAGCCAGCTATCAAGGCCAGATCATTGTTTGATGTTTCCTTTGCTGTTTGTTCCCTGTTTCCCTTCTGTTAGTGCCCTGTCTGTCAGTTTTGTAAGTTTTAGTTATTTCCAAGGTTCATGACCTGTATGCCTATGTGTGCCTACAGTTCAGAATAATACAATACAAATACATCTTATTGAATATTATTTATTTTCATGACCAGTTATTGTACAAAAGCTTTTTCATGCATTTTGTGATGCATTTTGGAAAGAGAAGAGCTGACAGAGATGAGACATGTTCAAAGACTTACTTTTACTTATTATTTAGGTAGCACACACATCATCCTTATTTTATTCTCATCCTTATTTTATTCTTATATCTTATTTGTACTTACAATCTTATTTTTATCTCTGTAAAAGGTTGCACTGCAAGAAAATAATTTCCAGCAAGGGATTAATAAAGTAATTGTGATTCTGATTCAGAAAGCCCTTTGGCAGAAATCAAATGAGCCATTTTAATCTAGATTAATGTAGATTAATTCCAAGATTGCAGTGAGATTAATCCAGATTAAAAAATGTATCTCAACCCATCACTATTATCTAAATGATACCCGCTGCTCTGGAAGCTTTTTGTGATATTTACATAGTTTTTTTCTTTTTATTATGTTCTTTTTGTTATGTTTTCTGATTTCTTTCCCTCTCGTCTCATAAAGGTGTGGAATATTGCAACTGCTTTTGGCATTTAATTAATCATATTTAGTTACTTTAACACAATTGTTTCATGTTAGCAGGGTAGGATGTAAAACTTACGTAAAAAATTGTGTTAAAGTAACTAAATATGATTAAGTATTTGCCAAAAGCGGTTGCATTATTTCTTTCAGGAGTTACTGTATATGTCCTGTGTCGTCCATTTTTGCTGTTTTGTTTCATTTTCTCTCTCTTCATGCAGTTGTTTATGCCTTTCTTTTTCACTATCCCCTTAGTTCTTATCCCCTCTATCTTACTCACCTCTCTTTTTGTCTCTGTATCCGTTATTTTACGATTTTACTCCCTAAATAATTTCCAATAATGTTTCATATATAAGTACCAAGCGGACCCTTATGGCAACAGTCATAGTGCTCTGCTTGTTAAAGCAAATCTGTTGAGATATCATCTAACTCTGGGACATCGATTTCCAGAGGTATATTGGCAAAACAGGACACAAGGAAAAAAAACATAAAAACTGTATCCATTGATCTATACATTGTGGCCTAAATGCTTGGTTATAGCAAGTGAAATGTAATCCAAAAAATTACAATTAATTCCCTAAATCTATTCCTCATTAAACACTGCAGGGATCATGTTTCTTATGTTTGGACAGCTTTTATTTTGTAGGAACTTGTTAATTACAAGCTGTATTTGGTATTAAATCAGGTTTATCAAATATTGTAATTTCATTGATAGCAGTTTGCAGCAGTTTACCATTATTCTTGCTCTTAATTTCTATGCCTTAAACTTATGTTCTCTTCATTTCATACAGTGAAAGCATGTTTAAGCTTGTCAGACTCTTTTATAGCTAGTTGTTTCTTCCTCTGAGCTTTGCATTTCCCTTAAATAAAAGTCTCTTTTCAAAAAACTTTGCACAAGGAATGTTGTTTTTTACAGAGGCAGCACTTTCTAAATGCTGTTCTTAACAGCTGAATGTTTACCAACTGTGCAACAAAGGCTTTTGCATATCTAAGATTTTTCTGAGTGCAGTTTATAGTAATGTTTCCTTCCTCTTCCAGCCTGAAAGGAGCCTTATGGATGGAAACTTTGTAAGACAACATGGTCGGAGATTTGTTCAGTAACTGTGCTAACTGTGATTAAGAAACATAAAGTCTCCTGAAAAAAAAAGACATGGCGTTGCTTCGTGTAGCTAAACAGATGGCAACGAAAACAGTTAATAAAACAGGCGTTAAAAGCGGATATTTTGTTAGAAAAAGATAATAAGTAAGAATCACCACCAGCTCTTTGACCCAACATGTAAGGCTGGGGGTCTTCTTCTCCTGCACAAGACATTACGTTCTCACCAGGTGACTATTTAATCACTCAGGCTTTGAGTAAATACATATAGGAAATCAATGCAAGAATGGGACAACATTTCCTTCAGCTGAATCAAAACAAAACTCAAGTAATAGTTTTTGGACCAAAAAAAAGAGCATTTAAAAGTTAGCACACATATATATAGCTAAAAACCACCAATCAGGCTCAAATCTGCATCTAATGATGGACTGGCTGAACTTTCAGAGGCTCATAAAGACAGTAACTAAATCAGCCTTCTATCACCTAAAGAACATCTCCAGGATTAAATGAATTATGCCTCAGCAGGACCTTGAAAAATTAATCAATGTGCTCATATTTAGTAGAACAGATTACTGCAACAGCTGCTACGGATCAAGAATGCAGCTACCAGCTTCCTTACTAAAACTAAGAGAGTAGAGAACATCAGCCCAGTTCTAAAGTCCTTCCACTGGCTCCCTGTATCTCAGAGAATAAACTTTGAAATAAGTATGTGGTCGAAAAAACACTGAATGACTTAGCTCCAAAATACATTACAGACTTGTTGTCAGAACATAAACCATCCAGACCTCTCATGTCTTCTGGATCAAATCTACTCTATATACTCAGAACCAGAACCAAACATAAAGAAGCAGCTTTTAGTTCTTATGTTCCACTAATCTGGGACACACACACAGAAAACTATTAAAGTGCTGAAACTTTAAGCTGCTTTAAATTGTGATTAAAAACTGATTATAGAACTAATTTATTAGGGGTGGCAGGGTGGGGCCACTGTTTTTTCATGGGGCCACCAAACAAGAATAAAACAAAAAATAGGTTGATACTTTATTATTTAAAATATTAATTCATACAAAGAGCAGTTTGCTACTCTGGAAACCTCCGATAAAGCAGATGAAAAGTCTGATAATATCTAAATATGACTAGAGCTAAAAAATGCAAACACTTCAACTCAATTCAATTCAGTTTATTTAATTGGCCAACCAAACAACCAATAAAATGGCAATTGATGGTTTACTAGTCTGAGTGTTTTGGCTGTAGTCAAGTGTAGTGTGTAATAGTGATGGGAGGTAAGAGAACAGTTACATGAATTAGACATGCACAACATGCAAATCTTGGGTTTAAACTTGGTTTTATCATTAGCGTTAAAGGTATAGTGCAGGGGCTTGTGCACGCTCTCGCACATGTTTAATAGGCATTCCCCCTGTAGTGCAGGTGCATGCGCATTTTTTTGGATCGGGTGGGTCTTCTCAAAAATTAGCAAAAATCCTCCACTACACCTTTAACTATTAGTGAAGTCCAAGAAGCATTCAAAGGGTTGATGCTTTAACCTCTGCTTTTAATGCCATTATACCAGTTAACAAATATATTTTGTCAAAGTGGCAAATTTGTATTGGTTTTACCTTTTACCAATACAGATTGCTTAAAAACATTACCAAATTAGATAGGCTGTTTTAACCAAAAGATTGGTTGGACCAGATAGGTGAAATAAAATGATTTGATGATGTTTTTCCGGGTGGTTGAATCTAACTTCCTCATTGCTGAATTCAGTTTGGATTTAGAGAGATTTAGGAGTTCTGTGATTTCCCTCTGGGATTATTAAAGTATGTCTGATTCTGATTCTGAAACAAGGCTGGAATAGAGCCATTACACCTCTGCATGAAAATGAGACACTGAAGGTTGTTTGGAATTTTTTCTTCAGGATCCCTTCTTAGATTCTACCTTTGAAGCTGTTCCAGGCCCATCCCACTGGGTGGAGATTCCAGGTAAGACCCACAATACATTGGTGAGACTTTTCCATTCTTGCATGGGAGCACTTAAGGATAAACCAGAATGAGCTTATGATTGTTAGCGGGGGTCAGATGTCATTGTGTCTCTCCTTGTAAGTCTGTAACAAGAAAAAAATTACTGCTCAAGCACAATTTCCTCACTTTTAGTATGTTTTGATACATAAGGTCCAACTAAAATCATTATAATTACCCTCATTATAATAAATATCGGTAGGAGAAGCAGTGGAAGGGAAAGAAGTAGGTTTTATTCAGTCATTTTACGATAAACAGCCTCCTGCCTTCATTATAAATCAATCATTTTACATGCCATGACTGAGAAGGGAAACGCACACAATAATATGCCTAACTTCTTATTCATCGGTCAAAAATAAATAAATTATGTATCTTTTAAATTAGTCATTTGGAAATTTTATATACTTAATAACAATTTTCATAAAGTTTTACCACCAAAACATTTTAATTGACACCCTTTTTTGTATTTTATTTATTATTTTTCTAAGGGTTTTACACCAATTTTTACATTACAAATCATATATCTTAACTTTTAGTATTTCTAAATAATTATCTAAAAATCAAGATGTGTCCACGAAAGGTAACTGAGAATTTAAATTAAAAATTTACACATTTGACACATACAAAAAAGTTACTTTTTATTTTCTTTTTTTCTTACAGTGGGTTGTGTCAACTAAATTATACCGCGTGGCAAAAAGAAAAAAAAGGCTGGGTCGAGGAGGGGCCACCAGGTCAGATTTCCACTAAAGTGCGACCCCTGATCCGCCTACGACCATCCATATTTGCTGAGGCTGCGCGGAACCATCGATGTGAAAGCTATTCTTCAGCTCGAGACACTTAGCAGCGACCCATCCATGTTAGCTACAGATCTGCGCTTCAGCCGCAGGAAGTCCGAGCCCTCCCTACTCCAAGCATCCTTCCCAACAGTCAGAAGGGGAGAAAAAAAGAAGCCAAACAGGCAAAGTTTTCCTCCGACTCGCCAAGCAGGAGTCGATATGGATAAAAAAAACGATAGATTCCCGTGAATGAAGCAAACAACCGGTAGTAACTTTTTTCTTCTTTTTTCTAAAAGAATGATAACATAGTCTTCACTTTTCTTGGTGTCTTTGTGTGAGCGGACGCGAAAACGTTAACTGCGGAAAAGTTTGGGTCAGACTATGGCGCGAGAGAGGAGCGAAGACACCGGGATGGACAAAGCTTCAAAAGCCAAAAGGCAACGAAAGAAAAAACCCAAGGAGAACAAAACCAGAACAGTTCACGCAAACATCCTTTATGACAGAGCCAAAGGAGAGGAAAATCCCAACAGACACTACGCTAACAACAAAATTAAGACCACAAAGTACACCGTGCTGTCATTCCTGCCCAAGAATCTTTTCGAGCAGTTTCACCGCTTTGCTAATGTCTACTTCGTTTTTATCGCTTTGCTTAATTTCGTCCCGGTTGTTAACGCCTTTCAGCCTGAGCTGGCTCTGGCTCCGGTGGTTTTCATCCTGTCTGTCACAGCCATTAAGGATTTATGGGAGGACTACAGGAGGCACCGCTCGGATAAAGAAATCAATCACATGGACTGTCTGGTCTACAGCAGGTAAGCTCGGCCTCCTGAACCACTACTTCACTTCTCCTTAAAAAAAAAACAAAACTTTACTTTTACAAAGATAGAAATAAAACCTAGACTTTCAAAACATCCCAAAGCCTTTATGTTTTGAATTCCACTATAATCCTGCTTAAAGTGAACAGCCCCACAGAATGATTCCACCACCACTCTGTTTCACCATGAGGGTTTGTTACCAGATGCTGCATGTTAAGGTGGATGGGTATATCTTTCTTCCAACTTTTAGATAATTGATTAAAGCAAATTCTGTGAGATTTTCAAAGGTTCATCCTTAAAGTTGAAGGGAAGTCATATTTAAATGTCAAATCATTCTGGCTTAAACATGTACATAAATGTACTCTTTATCAGACCATATTGTCCCAAAAGTTAAAAAATATCTATTTTTAAAAAAATCCTGTCTTAAAATATGTGGGGTTTTTTCTCGTTATCTTATGCAGGCCAGTTAGTTATACGTCAGCTTGTACACCTAAATTCAGCCAATCATATATCAACGGTCATCTGTCAATCAAATTTTTTCGGTTATAGCATCTTGATTCATATGTCGCAGCTAAAATACGCAACAGTTGAAAGAAGAATCATTTACTTTATTATTGAGTTCCGTCCCAGTCTTCACAGGGATGGACGTCTGTGTCTTCAGCAGGCGTAGAGCTAACAGAACTGGCAGCGTTGTGAGGCGAGAGCTCAAACATGTACGGCTGTAAGCCTTCTACACCAAACCAAGCTTCTGCTGCCCTGGCGTCCTCTTCCACAACATCTTTGTTCCCCAATTTCCTCCTCTAGATAAAAAATGTACGGTATGATGGAGGACACTCATCCACGACCTCCGACACTAAACTCTCCTCCTCTTGCATGTTTCCGCTGTCCATAGCGTTCCTTGACAGCGTCGTTACTAAGTCACCAATTTAGTGCTACTTGGTCCCAATGGAATTTCCCATTGGAAACCTACTAGCACTAAGTTGCTAACTGGTTAGCAAGATGCTTCTGAGAAACCAGTCACAATCAAACTTGCTGGTGAACCTTCCACCACAACAATCCCGCCCCCTTGATAAGCGACCAATCACATTCACTTTATTCACTCGTGTAAAGTCACCACTCAGAAGAATTCGGAAATGCAACGGTTGGAACAGCCGCTTCCCTACTACTTTAATTGGAGGAGTTATGGGCCTCTTGGATGATTCTGTGCAAGTTTAGACGGATGGGTATATCTTTCTTCCAACTTTTAGATCAGGGGTCTTCAACGTTTTCCAGACCAAGGACCCCCAAACTGATGGAGAGATGGAGCGGGGACCCCCTAATTATATATATTGTATGAAATTGTGTTATATCAAACTGGTCCTATAGTCACTCTATTACAGATGGAGTCATGTAATGAAAGTAATTCCTCCCTGGGATTGTTAAAGTATTTCTGATTCTGATTCCTGGTTGATGGGACAGGTGTTGTGAATGAAACGGTGCCCAGCTTGAAAGAGCTCCTGTGTGTCGCTGAATTCAATTCAATTCAATTCAGTTTATTTATATAGCGCCAAATTCACAACACATGTCATCTCAAGGCACTTTACAGTTCAACCAGATCATACAGTCAAATTGATACAAAGTTTTCTATCTAAGGAAAACCAGTTGATTGCATTGACTCATTGACTCAAATACAATCCCCCACACTAAGCATGCTTGTAGCGACAGTGGAGAGGAAAAACTCCCTTTTAACAGGAAGAAACCTCCAGCAGAACCAGGCTCAGTGTGAGCGGCCATCTGCCGAGGCCGACTGGGGTTCAAGGAGACAGAAGCAGAGATACAAAAAGCAGCTGTAAAAGGCGGCCCCGTCCAGGAAACACACGGCCAGGCAGACGAGCTCCAAGGCAGCTCCCATGCCAGAGGACGAAGAGAGCACATCCACTCAGTCACGGTCAGAGAAACAGGACCACACTGGAAAACAGGCCGATCTCCAACATCTATTAACAAGGGTGTTGATAGAAGCAGCACAGCTGATGTTTCTTTCCATGATGACGTCACAGCCAAACAGGAACAGACGAGGCAAAGCCACTCTGAGGAAAAGCAGAGAGAGCAGAAGGTTAGAGATTGAACTAACAGATTCTGCAGAATAGGAGAACAGAGAGAGAATGAAGCAGAATGATGAAATGGGGGTCCCTATGTCCTCCAAAAGTCTAAGCCTATAGCAGCATAACTATAGAGATAGCTCAGGATAACCTGAGCCACCCTAACTATAAGCTTTATCAAAAAGGAAAGTTTTAAGCCTAGCCTTAAAAGTAGACAGGGTGTCTGCCTCACGGACTAAAACTGGTAGTTGGTTCCACAGGAGAGGAGCCTGATAACTAAAAGATCTGCCTCCCATTCTACTTTTAGAAATTCTAGGAACCACTAGTAAACCTGCAGATTGAGAGCGAAGTGCTCTGTTAGGAACATAAGGAACAATCAGATCTCTGATATAAGATGGAGCTTGGCCATTTAAGGCTTTATATGTGAGAAGGAGGATTTTAAATTCTATTCTTGATTTAACAGGAAGCCAATGAAGAGAAGCCAGGATAGGAGAGATGTGATCTCGCTTTTTAATTTTCATCAGAACTCTGGCTGCAGCATTTTGGATCAGCTGAAGGCTTTTAACTACAGTTTGTGGACTTCCTGATAGTAAAGAATTACAATAGTCCAGCCTTGAAGTAACAAATGCATGGACTAGTTTCTCAGCATCACCCCTGGACAGGATATTTCTAATTTTTGCAATGTTCCTCAGATGAAAGAAGGAAATTCTAGAAACCTCTTTGATATGGGATTTAAATGACAGGTCCTGATCAAAAATAACACCAAGATTTTTTACTTTATTATCTGAAATCAGTTTAATCCCATCCAAATGAAGTGACTGGCTAATCAGTTTCTTTTTCAGAGACTCTGGTCCAAAGACTATAACTTCTGTTTTGTCTGCATTCAGAAGCAGAAAATTAAGAGTCATCCAGGTTTTTATGTCTTCAAGACATGCCTGTAATCTATGTAATGGGTTAGCTTCATCTGGATTTATAGACAGATATAGCTGGGTATCATCAGCATAACAGTGGAAATTAATCCCATGCTGTCTAATAATTCTACCAATTGGGAGCATGTATAAAGTAAAGAGAATTGGTCCTAGCACTGATCCCTGTGGTACTCCACAGGTAACCTTTGAGCGTGTTGAAGATCTATCATTAACATGAACAAACTGAATTCGATCAGATAGATAAGATTTAAACCAGTCTAGTGCTGTTCCTTTAATTCCAACAAAATATTCAAGTCTTTCTAAAAGAATATTATGGTCAACTGTATCAAATGCAGCACTAAGATCCAACAGGACGAGCACAGATACAAGTCCATTATCTGAGGCCATGAGAATATCATTAGTGACTTTCACCAGAGCTGTTTCAGTGCTATGATGAGCTCTAAAGCCAGACTGAAACTCTTCAAAAAGTTCATTATGGTGGAAGTGATCGCAAACTTGTTTGGCAACTACTTTCTCAAGAATTTTGGATAAGAAAGGAAGATTGGATAAAGGTCTATAATTGACCAAGTCATCTGGGTCAAGAGACGGTTTCTTAAGCAGAGGTTTAATTACAGCAATCTTAAAAGCTTTAAATGTGTGCATTGATGACTGAATAACATCTTCTGCCTCCATTTATCTGTTTACTACAGTCTGTCGAATTCTTGTTAATGTGGATTTAAAGACATTTCAATTAGTGGAAAAAAATTGCAGGGGGGAATATAAAAAGAGTCTGATTAACCAAAAGTTTCACGACCCCCTTGCAGTACCTCTGTGGACCCCCTAGGGGTCGCGGACCCCTGTTGAAGACCTCCATTTTAGATAATTGATTAAACCAAATTCTGTGAGATGATCAAAGGTTCATCCTTAAGTTGTATGGTGGGATCGTTTTTTTTTTTGAAGACTTTCTGAGGTACTTTTTTATAATAATTGAAGTTCATAGATCTCACACTGGGGAAACTTACCTCTGCATTTAACCCATCCTCGTCGGGAGCAGTGGGCTGCCACTGTGCGGCGCCCCGGGAGCAGTGTGGGGTTAAGGGTCTTGCTCAGGAACCCAGAGTGGCAGCCTGTGGGGATCTAACCGGGTACTGGCAACCTTCTCAGAGCACAAGCTCACTGCTGTAACAACGAGGCCAACACTTCCACCGGCATTAATGCACCTTTCAATTGTTTTGGTGTTTGGGGTTTTAATGTGACATTTAAAAAAAATTTAAATCCTTTTTGTTGCAGTGTGTCATGCAGGTCGGCCTTCATACATGTCACTTTTTAGGAGCACCTAACCCCAGAAACGATAGATTCCTGCCTAAATCTATCAGTCAGAGAATTATAGAATAGTAGAATAGGATATAGAATAATTCTTGCTGTAACTACTGCATTTGTTTTGGTTCTGAATCTATTAATAATGAATGATTTTCCACCCTGGTGACCTGTTGCTGACCAGTTTCCTGAGTATGTGTGCCCTGGCTGTACTTAACTAATGAAAAGCAGCACTGTCGTCCTTCCCGTACAGACCGTGATTCACAGGCATCAAGAGCCTCAGTGTTTTAGTGGCTCCAAAGTGTAGAGACCCAAAGTTTTTGTCAGCGTTGGACATTTAATTTTCATTTCAATATTATTTCAAAAATCCTGACCTTTTCCATCGCTGGATTTGTTGACTAATTTTGTGTAAATTTCAAGTGAATTTCAGAGTTGTTCCCTGATTAATTCCAATTAGTCGCATTTTTAAAGAAAACCATATAATGACAAAATTTAAACCCCCTTTTTGCTCCTAAATGATTAAATAGACAGCAACAAAAATCTTTGTTTTTATTCCATTATTTAGGTTATTCAAACATCAGATTGAAAGTTAGTCAATTTCCTCTGTTAAGAAACTTCTGATAATTAATATCAGCTTCTTTATTAAACTACCTCTTAGTGTTTCTGTCTTTATACATTAACATTGCAAACTTCTTTGCTGCTGTAATGTGAGTACAATGATGTAACTTTTAAACTTGAAGAGCCTCATTAGACCAACGCTTGTGATGCTAATTGGGCTCCAGATTTAGTGGTGTACAAGAAAAACATGAATAAAAAGGTTCCAGCTCAGGACTTTAGTATGTATTAGAAAAGAAAAATAATAAAATAAATAATAGCATTCAGCTATAGCATTTTTTTTCAAGGGGTTAAACTATTTATATTTCATTAATGGGTTAATGTTTTGATTTGTATTGTTTTTTTTGTTGTTGTTTTTTTTTTTTTATAAATATGATGAGAAATGTGCCTTCTTAATCTCTATCCAGGCACCAAAAAGGATGTTTTTTTACTGTCTTATGTGCATTTCAAGTTTTCTCAGTGTTGACAGGTCCCATCCGGTGTTCCACTTATTGTTTTTAAGCAGCAAATCAATGGTTAACTTCCCACCAGTCAGACTGTGATTAAAAAAAATTACCGTATTTTCACGACCATAAGGCGCACCGTACTAAAAGGCGCAGTCTCAGTTATGTGTGCCATTTCTGTATTTAACACACACATAAGGCGCACCGGACTATAGGGCGCGTTTTTTATATACAGGTACATGTCCTCTACCACCTTTAAATAGCTCTACTGCGTATTTAAAAATACAGCGGGGGCAAAACTGAGTATGACTGTGCTTTATTCATGTATTTATTACAAAGTATTAATCAAACCTGGCAGCTGGCCGTGAGACAGACACATCGCAGATGACACAGCGCTGTGATCGCTCCTAAATTAACTTAAAATCCTGAAACCTGCCGACGGAATATGTTCGCTTTTATGGGTGCCTGCAGTTTAAATTATTTAGATGAAAAACACCTGCCATCCACCGCGTGAACCCGGAGGCTGCCCAGCCTAGAGGCTGCTGATGAAAGGATTTCTCCTGTCGGCGCACCGCTGGTATGTGGGGGTCTGAGCGCCTCCGACAGAAATAGATAATCTGGATGAACTGACTGCAATTATGAAGTTTTCAGGTGGACTTTCTCACTTAAAAACATAATAAAACTACTTTATTCCCACTGATCACAGCAAATATAGCTGCAAGATTTAGATTATTTAGATGAAAAAACACCTGCCAGCCGCCGCGGTGAAGAGGAGGAGACCCGCCCAGAGGCTGCTGTTGAATTAAGTTTTCAGGTAGAAAAATACAGCGGGAGCAAAACTGAGTATGATTGTGCTTTATTCATGTATTTATTACAAAGTATTAATCAAACCCATCAAAGTCATCATCCTCTGTTTCTGAATAAAACAGCTGCGCTAAATCAGACATGCCAATTTCCCCTTCTTCGCTGTCAGAGTCACTTTCCGTGCAGCGCGGCTCCTCAGAAATAATGCCGGCTTTTGCAAAAGCTTGAACAACAGAGCCAGCAGACACGTTAGTCCATCAACAATCCATCCGCAAACTGTGGCGTAACTTGCCCGGCGCTGCCTTCCACTTATCCTGAAACTGCGGTCTCTATCGGTCATCCATCGCTCCCACGCCGCTCGCAGCCTTACTTTGAACGGCCGCTTCACACCGATGTCGAGCGGTTGAAGTTCCTTTGTCAGACCCCCGAGATAACGGCGAGCACAGTATCCATTTGATTCACCTTTTTTTTCACATCAGCTGTGAGATGGGCACGCATGGAGTCACATATTAAAAGCGATGGTGATGCGTGGAAAAAACCACCTGGTCTCCTCACATAGGCTACACATCCCTCAGCTACGCTTTCATCATCTCCTCATCCATCCAGCCTTTTCCATTTGCGTTAATATCATATGTCATCAGAGCGCTGTGTCTGTCTCGCTGTCAGCTCCCAGATCTGCTTCTCTGATTGGTTGATGCGGCGCGTCCAGCAGCAAAACTTCAATTTTTCCATCTCGAGCAGCAGCAGCGCGTTGGCAGATGCTTAAACGCTCCTGCAGCTCAAAACGCGCTGCGGGACCTTTTGCTGCACCTATACGCGCGTCAATCATTGACTTTGCATGTAAACTCGCTGCTTCTGCTGCACCTGCTGGGTCCGGTTCACACCGATGTCGAGCGGTTGAACAGCGAGCACAGCGTTAATTTGTTTCCCCATGTTTTTCACATCAGCTGTGAGATGGGCAGGCATGGAGTTACAGATTAACAGCAATGGTGATGAGTGGGAAAAAAAAAACACCTGGTCTCCTTACATTCAGCCACTCTTTCATCATCTCCTCAATGAGGTGGTCTCAAAAGTCGCAGTTGCAACACACATAGGGCGCACCGCACCATAGGGCGCACTGCACATTTTGAGGGGAAAAAAAGACGTTTAAGTGCGCCTTATAGTCGTGAAAATACGGTATCTGGTTTCACTTGATAAACTCTTACCTGGGATGAGATGTTCCTTTAATGAAAAGCCTGAATTATTTTTCCCTGTCCTTGATAAGATTCAATACCGAGAAACATCCGTGGTTTTCAGTTTATAAGCACAACATCAGAAAAATATATTTTTTCTTGAAATTGTCTCCTTTTCTGATGAGCCTCTATCTCACTGTTACACCCACTGGCAAATTCCAGCGAGCCTGTGATGATGCAGAAATGCTATTTAAGGGCTGAACGGTCCAATGGCCCTATCCACTACGTGATTTGGAATGGCACTTAATGTGGAGGACCCTCCACGGAAATTCCCAAACAGAGGGTTAGTGCTAAGGGTTAGTGTTTAGGAGCTGGTTCGGGATTCAGGCCCTGAAAGTTTGAGTTGTCCCTCTTGGTGGGATAGAGATGGGAGTGATGATAGCAAGGCAGGCAAATGTTAGGACCTCTACGGTATTGATGCTAATAAATTAGCACAAACAAAATAGTTTCTTTTAGACTTTTCTGGTTATAAAAAAGAGCTCATACAACGTATCACTTTTGGTAAAACTTGCTTCATCTGCAGCTGAAAAATGTGTTTAAAATCCCACACCGCATCTGCACTGTTTCTGCAGAGAGGAAAAACGCTACGTGGAGAGGTACTGGAAAGAAGTGCGTGTCGGGGACTTCGTCAAGCTGCGATGTAACGAGATTCTCCCTGCTGACGTCCTGCTGCTGAGCTCCAGCGACCCCGATCGCCTGTGCCACATCGAGACCGCCACGCTGGACGGAGAGACCAACCTGAAGCAGAGGCAGGTCATCCGCAGCTTTTTCGATCTGGTAAGACAGAAGGAAAAAAAATGTTTTAGTTTTCAACAGCCTCATACAGCATTGTAACTTTGGTCGGTTTTCACAATTTAAAAAGTTAATTTTTTTAAGAAAGCTACCAAAGCATTTATTTCTGTGAAATCCCTTCAGTTGATAGTATTATTTGATGATCTTTTTTTTGGTTAGCTCCTGTTTTCCAGTTGAGTCTCACCTATGGAGAGTTTTAGATTATTTCTATAACAAAAGTTACCATGAAAAAGCCTCAATATCTCAGTAAAATAGATGCAAACGGCTTAATGTCGCCATGAGAATTTATACTTGATGGTTGCGATAGAGTCATTTTAACTACTCTGCTTGGGGAAAACTCAAGATGCATCGAGTATATTTGATATATTGCCCACCCCTAACTAAAAGGTGAATAAGTAATTCATGTTGTGTAGTGGTCAGGTAATTATTTTACCAGATTAGTTTTAAAGAAAACAAACAGTCTTGATTACAGACTATTTTTACATTATAATTGTATCCTGCTTTTTTTCTTTTTTTTGTAGATTAAAATATGAAAAACAAGGTTTGATCATTCAAAATTACTCATAGATTAATGGACAAAAAATAGGTTGGAGTACAAATTAACCATTTATTAGTAGCCATTGGGTTACATATACAGAAGCAGAGTCTTCCAGTCGGCATGCTAATATCAGAGATTTTACATGCAGGTCGATAGATTTTTGGTTGTTATCGGACTGATCTCGGTTCAGAACATCCCTACTTTTAACATATATTTATTTTTTATTCACTCTGAAGGTATAGCAGCTTTTATTTTGCTGTGGCGGTGCACCACAATAAAACACATATAGAGGACAAGTCTTAAATAATGCTTTTATAGTAATGGATTGTTTCTGTCGGAGTGACCTTTCAGCTTGTCCTGGCACAACACATGTTCTTCTGTTCATAACGAGACTCTTTACGACCTCCAGGCAGCATTTTCATAATATCTTTAGTTCTACTTCTAATGCAGAGATCCAGCACCAAAATGGGCTCATCTCTGAAACACAGAGATTAACCCCTGGATGGATATTCCCATGCTTGCACAAAATTGTTTGAAGCAATAAATGCAGCACCTTTAGGCATCTAATATTGTATACCAAGGATGAAGTACACTAATATATTTTTGATGGTTTTTTATACCCATAAAGTCCCACAAGGCAGCAGTGTGTTGCCTTAGATGAGCTTACTGCCCGCTTATAAAGAAATGACCTTCAGTTTATCGCTACCTTAGGTCATCTGTGAATGGATGTCTTAATAGGCCAAGCATCACACCTGGGCTACATATGCTGACTTATGGGATGCCTTTTCTTTCTCTACAGGACTGTGACTTCGACCCATTAAAGTACAGCAGCATAATTGAATGTGAAAAGCCCAACAATGACCTGAACAGATTTCGAGGCTACATGTAAGTACTGCTCTACATGAACAATGACGCTGAAACCTTTAAATCAGCAGCTGTCAAGGGCATCCGACAGCGCTGCAACTAACCTTTATTTTAATAATGGGCTAATAAACGATCATGTTTTGACAAGTCCATTAATCAAATGATTGTTCTACTTTCCTGATAAAAATTAATCAAGCTGCAATGCATATTACAGCTAACATTTTAGGTCTAATTTGACCTTAATTAAAGTGCCTGGGTATATTTAGATAAACATTAACACAATTATTAATTTAACTTTTTTTCATTAAGGGAAAAATATATTATCATCAATAATATCATCATTATTATTTAAATAAATGGTGCAAGTTCCTTGTAAACAAATGTAATTCAGCTCCCTGTCTCACATGATTTCTGCATTAATTGCAAAAAGTGTTTTTACTCCTACAAATTTGAGTATTTATTCTCCTTGAGAATAAATTCATCCACTTGTATTTGACGGGTACAAAAGGTAAGAAAGGAAAGCCATAGTTAGGCGATATGAATTCTCAAGTAATTCAAAGCCAAGTTGAAAACAATTAAAGTTGTAGGGAAGCGGCTGTTCCAACCGTTCCATTTCCAAATTCTCCCGAGTGGTGCATGACTTTTCATGAGTGAATAAAGTGAATGTGATTGGTCGTTTATAAAGGGGGCGGATTGTTGGGGCGGAAGGTTCGCAAGCAAGTTTAGTTTTGGCCAGTGTATCGGAAGCATCTTGCTAACCAGTTAGCAACTTAGTGCTAGTAGGTTCCCAATGGGAAATTCCATTGGGACCAAGTAGCACTAAATTGGTGACTTAGAAACGACGCTGTCAAGGAACGCTATGGACAGAGGAAACATGCAAGAGGAGGAGAGTTTAGTGTCGGAGGTCGTGGATGAGTTTCCTCCGTCATACTTTTTTTTTTATTTAGAGGAGGAAAGCGGGGACGAAGATGTTGTGGAAGAGGACGCCAGGGCGGCAGAAGCTTGGTTTGGTGTAGAAGGCTTAAGGCCTGGTTATACTCCTGCAGCAGTGTGTCACAGTGAGCTTGACGCAGACATTTTTGATTTATGCCCAGTATTGAAGCATGGTCTGCACTATACACAGTGCGTCTAGATACAGCCGAGGCGAAGAGGAAATTTGTCCGACAACAGAGAGACATGACGGTGAAAAATAGCGGGGATCCAGGTTGAAAAAGGGTCCCAGTGTTCTCGCACACCTCGCTCTTCTAGCTGGTCCAACTTCACGAGTTGTTTGTCGCAATTTTGGTCATAAAAACAAAACAATCCGTCCTCCTGTCTGCGGTCAGCTACAATTTGGGAGAGATGCAGCAGAGTGTCTGCAGAGGGGGCGGAGACGTCTTTTTGTTCACTGTGACTCCTACGCAGACGACCTAGTTTCAAAGTATAAATCAGCCTTTACAGCCGTACATGTTTGAGCCCTTGCCTCGCAACGCTGCCAGTTCTGTTAGCTCTATGCCTGCTGAAGACACAGACGTCCATCCCCGTGAACACTGGGACGGAACTCAATGGGAAAGTGAATGATTCTTATTTCCTATTTTAACTGTTGCGTATATTAGCTGCGCCACATGAACCAAGATGCTATGACCGAAAAAATTGACAGATGACCGTTGATATATGATTGGCAAAATTTAGGTTTATAAGCTGACGTATAACTAACTAGCCTGCATAAGATAACAAAAAAAACACAGATTTTAAGACAGGATCTTATTTTTAAATAGATGTTTCTACCTTTTGGGACAATATTGTCTGATAAAGAGTACATTTATATACATGTTTATGCCAGAATGGTTTGACATTTAAATATGACTTCCCTGTGACTTTAATAATGTTTTTGTCAGAAAAAGCACTTCAATATGTTTGTTTTAATGCTTTATTTACTAAACCATGCTGGATCTCAGCTGCTACTTTTTTCCGTGGACTCGGAGCGATGCCTGCAGTGATATGCTTGTCTGACTTAAAATCGGTGACTTTGCAGCTTTTTGGGGGGAAAATAGTTTCCATCTCCTGTGGGGTGAAGAGGAAACACAAACAATTCCCTGTAAAGTTCCTGTTGCAAGCGATGCTGCAACAAACACAGTCGTGGGCAAAGAAACATGACACTGTGACAATCGTTAAATGAAAAACATATGATGCCGATTTGTCCAGTGTATTTTTTCATACAAAACGTTATCTTGACCATATAAGCAGAACAAGTTTAATACCAGAAAAGAAAGTAGTGATTATAATGCCTGCATTGTCTATGATATACTACTTTATCTTGTGAAGAAGTAAAGCACATGAGAATTTGTCTAATGGGAAGTAGCTTAGTGGCCCCACAAACTCGTCATTGTGATATCCATCCAGTCCTTAAAGTTCAAATAGAACCCTTAGTTAATTTTAACACAGCTCTGATGAGGTAGCCTGGTCAGCCAGACTGACGTATCAGTTATATGTTAGGCGCGAACACATCCTTTTTAAAAGGAATGACAGAAAATCTGCTCTCTCAAATTTTCAGGAGGTATTTTTCTGACATTTTTCCATAATGTAATTATGCCAGGGCCCTGGGACCCACAGCATTTGATTTAAGATGTGAGCGATACATATGTATTATCTTATTTAACTGTTAAATTATCGCACTGCTTCCCAGCTGTGCTCCATTCGTGTTGCCGCACGTTTCCTATTTCCAGGGTTCCCGCGGTTCCTTAAAAAGTCTTAAAAGGCATTGAATTCTTCAAAATAAAACTAAGGCCTTAATTGGTATTAAAATGTCTTAAATCAGCCTTTCGTAGGTCTTATTTTTTAAAACATCATAAATAGGATTATTTTTATTACGATTTATTTTTGTAATCTAAATAAAACATTAAAATTGAAAACATTTTGTTTTATTAAAAAAAATAAATAAATAACAGCTCGCCATTATTGGTTCCGTCCCGATAGCGGAACCAATAAAAGCGTTGTTGCGGCCGGGACATTTGTGAGATGCGCCATTAACTTTTTGTCTGGAAAATATGAGCAAGTGTAAATGTAACGAAAATTGGCTCCAGCCAGGAGTTTTCTCCACGGCTAAAACCATGGAACATACATGAGGCACAGTGGATTTTATGCAAGAAGTCATTCAAGCTCAGAACTATGGGAATTAAGGCAGCGGAGTCACATGCGAAGCACGAAACACAAAGCGTCAAAATGGAGTTACCGAGAAACAGGCGGTATTTCTCAGTTTTGTTCCACCCTTGTCTCTGCAACGCCTCCACTTATCACCAAATCAAACATACTAAGAAAACATTACAAAGAAAAATAGCTGCAAAAAAGACTTAGCACTGGTTATGTTGTGGCTTTAAAACTGATTGTTTTGTTCCCTGCTAAAACAGAGTTTGTGAATTCAGTTAAATAATTGTTAAAATATATCTGTCATTTGTGTATTTTTAGCTTTCTTCCTGTATGGGAAGCTTTTCAAAATTTGAAACATTAGTGCAGTGGTTTATGTTAAAATAAACCTTTGGGTTAAGTTGTCGCAAGCAGGTTTTTCTTGTGTTTCTTGTAAATTTGGTCTTAAATTTCTATTTCAAGTGGCATTAAAAAGTCTTAAAAAGTCTTGAATTTAACTTGCCTCATGCTGTAGGAACCCTGATTTCATTATTAATTTATTTTACTAGACTGTATTAAAGAAGGTCACTTCGCATCCCAAAAGAGATAATAGCTTATGATGCATGTGTGTGATCAAAAACAGGCTCTTACCACAACGATCATTTTATGTAAACCCACTCTGTATTGTTAAGTATAGTTGGTGTATGTTTTTATATTTTATCCCTCTTTTTATGACACAATATGCAATCCATGTCTCTGCGATTCAGTCGTAAAGTTAAAAAATAAAGTATAACAGATTATAGGCACAGACTGCATCATAGGCATTGGTCTAGGCTTCAAGTCAAACATGAATTTAAATAAAGTCTATTCCATTGATTGATTGTGAGTGCATTAGAGCGAACTGGAGCGGAGCGAAATCCTCGCTCCAATCTTTGAATCGAAAACCGCTCTGCGCTCCACCGTATTTCTTCCGCTACGCTCACATGCTCTAATTCAAAGTTTCAATTATGGATTGCATTTGTTTTCTTTTTTTGTTTTTTATTTCCATTCAAAAAATATTTGTTTTAAATTTCTGTTTACAAAATGTGCCCCTTGCTTGCAACAACAATAGAGCAAAAATCACCCCATACAAACAGGATCATAGTGGGATTTTTTTTGTGTGAAAGCCGAGGCATCAAGCCTTTTTTCACGACAAAATAAAGTATTTCAGAATAGCTTCCCTACTTTGATATTTAGTAAGAGGACACACTGTCATATACATATAGTCTTAAGATATGCTTTGTTATTATTGTTAAATTATTATACATTATTTAAATTTAGTTTTCTTTTAACTAAACATTCTCTGGAAATTACCTTTGTGCTTTTCTTTTTTTTGTATATTTGTTTTTTCAGGCAAGTTGAGAGTTTCCAAGTTTGCTTCTGCTAAAAACAGAAGCAAAGGATCCATTCAGCCTATTTTTTATGTGGTTATGACTGCAAATTAGGCAAGATGTTTGTGCTTGCATATAAAAAATAGCTACAAGTCAACTTTAGGATGGGAAGCTGCATTTTCTCATCTTTCTCATCAACTTTTTTATCATTGTATTCTATAATCTAGGTTAGTGTGGAGGTTTTACGTGATAAAACTGTCATCATTACACATTTGTACAATAAAAAGATCGCCACCAGAACAGTTCAGAACATAGAGAACATCATAAAATAAACCTTTCTTTTTAAAAGGTCAGAATAGTCTGATTTAATGATTGAACATGGATGTTGTTCTTTTACTAACCATCAGAAACTGTTTATTGGGTAAAAAATAAATAAATAAACATGTTTAAACTGTCTTATTTACAGTACCAAACATCCAGATCGTCAGATAGCATAGAGCGCTTATTTAGTTGGTAAACATTGTGACTCACAGCTGGAGGCAGAAAGAT